CTCCAGTTGTGCGTTCCGAGCAGCTTTTCCAGTTGCTTTGGCAAGAGATGCTTCGCTACTGTTTCAACGGTCCTCTTGACAGATACACATGACGAGGCTTTGACCATTTTGTTGCGCTCATGGTTTGGATTGAGCAACACTGGCCTGTCTCTATTCCTAGTACCCAACAAGATGACTTACCGACTAGGAAATCGGATAAAATTTTGTATATTTGGGAAGTATGAGTGAAAGGCAAACATCAACCCACTGATGACACGCGACTGCGCACCGTTAGGAGCATTTAGCGTTACTGACCTCTGGTGCACTTATCCCTTCCCTTTTATTTGAGCTTTGTGCTGCAATAGTTGCGCAAAACGCATACTGTCGAGATCCTGTCTGTGTGTGTGCGTAGCTGAAAGGAGAATTTTCTCTGCCCGAGTACGACCTCGTGACTTCAAAATCAGCTCTCGCGCATGCCTCGGTCCCACACACGGACACGTGATGTTTCGACACCAAAATTGTTACTTTGGGACCAAAAAACTAAGAAGCTAAATTTTTAGAAGAATGTCCTTCCTCACATATGATCCCGCAAATTCGAATTCAAACCCCGCCTTCCCCACCCCGAATGCTTGGATCACACGTAAAGAAAGTGAAGTTTTTGCCGCAAAAATTAATAACTCAAGAATCATTAAAGATGGGGAGCTTGATTTAAAGATGCCTCTACCCGTCTATAAATTGAAACCATGCGCACCAGTAAGTCTCTGACATGGATAAACGAATGTTTTGGCATAGAAATTAATACTCGGAAACCACAAAAGGTAGAAGATTGAAATTTTAGGATAATGGTCCCTGTCCGCTATAAATTCGTCTCCGCGCACGCCTAAGTTTCATTTTCGGACAAGTGAAAGTTCTGGCCGGGAACCATAAAAAGTAAAGTCTTGGCTCCTAAATTAACACGTAACTTATCAAACAATAATGCAGTGAACACTTTTAATAGCTCTGTTCTCCTGAACAGAGTTGCACAAGCATCGGTTGGACAGGATTGCAAAGGCGTCCTCCGGACAGAACTGCACAAGCGTTCGTTGAATAGGGCTGCACAAACGCATGGTCACACCAGCTACCTCGGTGTCTGCCAATG